GTCACCTCAGGTCAAACCAAACATAAAACTGCAGAGCGGCGCACTCAACAGCACTGACCTGCACAGTGCAGACATCTACGCAGAACACATGCACTACACACAGTCTCTTCAGCCAAGTTAATTTTGTACCAGTCAGAAACGTCCCTCTGTACACAGATCTCGAACTGTTATATGCTATCAAATGATGACAAGTTGTATGGCTTGAACAGAACTACCAGCCTGCTATGGTTAATGGAGGTGTTCTCAGGTACGCAGAGTGCAGATAGTATGTCACCATACAGCAAATGTTGATATAAGAAATTCAAATTAGAATCATGACAATTATATGTTGTAATGGATGTTATAGTTTCAAACAGGTGGCTTGTATTTCACCCAAAAAAGAAACAATAATTAAAAAAAATAATGTAATTTTTGCAACACATTACATTGCCCAAATTGATCAAACACCTCTGAATTGATGAAAAGGAGGTGAGTGAGTGAGTTTGGTTTTAGGCCACTTTTAGCAATATTCCAGAAATATCATGGTGGGGGACACGAGAAATCGGCTTCACACATTGTACCCATGTGGGGAATCGAACCTGGGTCTTCAGCATGATGAGCGAACACCTTAACCACTACTCTACCCCACCACCCATGAAAAGAAGGAATTCATAATAAGTCCCAATTTCAGGCAACGCTTTTTCCCTCTCAAAAATCAAAATCATGAATACACCTCAGCTCTACATTGCATAATACTGGAACATGCACAGTCACCTAAAGATGAGTGATAGTGACTACTCATTACGATAACAAACACACACAACAAGCCACATTGGAAAAGCCCTTATCTTCAACAGGAGCAATAGCACTGGAAACAGTTACCAGGCCTCCTTGTACTGTAGTTGTTTATGGTTTAGGATATGGCTGGGCTGGTCGAGACAGAGGGTGAAATATTAGCCAACTGACATGTTCATGGTGCTTAAATTGATGATATTTATGACAAATGTCATCCGTCTCTATAACTGACAGCCCAGTTTTATTGATCCTGGGGATTGTTCTATAACTGTGGCAATAAATATTGGTCTAAACATGGGAGGATTGTGGTGATCACACTTGTCCACAACATCCATGACACGTCGACAAGTGTAGGTAATACTACAAGAGTTATTCCCCTTTAGTCAACTCGGTCACTGAACACTTAATGGTCAAACACCAAGAGTTTATACATAATAACAGAACAGTATATTAAAATGTTAAATATATAACATAAGAGATAAAGCTTAAGCCATACAAAATATTTTTAATTATTTTCTTTATTTCAAACGGAAGGATAAAAGGTTTTCCAAATCATCTTAAAGATGCCTAATCAAAATTGGAATTTTTTTCAAATTACAATTGCAAGTTTTAATCTCTAATTTAAATGAAAAAGCAAACCTAACATTCATTACTATGATTACTCCAATTACTGTCAAATGCCAGCTGGCCTGTCAGCTACAATCAGCATGTGGGTGGACTGGGTTATACAGTATGCTGAATATAGGAGAGGCTAGCTGTGGGAACAGTGCTGCAACTGACGCAGGTCTTGGGGAAATGCATTAACACTGACGTGTACAATGATAATTAGAATCATAGGACTCTGGTGTGCTCAAGGGAGGCAACTCTTCAAGGTGACGACAGAACCTTATATAACTGCAAAGTCTGTGGAACCAGGTTGCTATTACTCAGTATTAGATTAATTAACATTAATAGAGTGAGTGAGTGAGTTTAGTTTTACGCCGCACTCAGCAATATTCCAGCTGTATGGTGGTGGTTTGTAAATAATCGAGTCTGGACCAGACAATCCAGTGATGACAGTATGAGCATCAATCTGCGCAATTGGGAACCAATGACATGTGTCAACCAAGTCAGCGAGCCTGACCACCCGATCCTGTTAGTCGCCTCTTATGACAAGCATGGGTTACTGAAGATCAATATTCTAACCTGGACCTTCACGGGTATAACATTAGACTGATCATATCAAGGGTATATAGAGTGATCAGTGTTTGTCGCAATACATAACACTGGTCAAAGAATGAAGGTGGAACAACATTCCACAGAGGAAATAGAAGGTGCAACAGTAACACAGTTGAAACTGTGAGCTGCAGTTGTGCTGACTGGCTGAAAACAGATGTTAAGTTGTTTAGAACCCCAGAACTTTCTCAGAATGAACACTTTCTTCATAAAATGTGCATTTTCTTATTTCTGTTTTGAAAAAGGTGCTTTTGGCTTATAGAAATGGACATGACATTATTCAAATATTCCTCAGAACCACTTCAGGTTAGTTTGTCTTTTCAACATTCTGCTGGTGTGTTCGGTTGTTATTGACACATGTCATGTTAATTCTTGTATCTTTTTTTTTATAATTTTATTGTTTTTAAAGATGTTTTACAGTCTATTCCGAAAACTCAACAAAGGACATTCAGGTTACAATACAATACAAGCATATGATGTACAAATCATGTGAACAGTTCATGACATGAAGACCAGAACTTATAAAAGGCGCTGATATTATACTCCATTAAAGAAGAGCACTTTGTTATCATATAATAATGTCTAATTTCATTCTGGAAAACATGGAATGGTGGCACACTGTTTTTTAATCTGCTTCCAAAAATTAGGTTTTTAAAGATAATAAAATAATATTGAGAGGGTCATTGTTTTTGTCTGGGAAACCGAGCAATACCTGTTTTCTTGATACTTTGATATTGACAAGAGCTTTATGATTTAGCCAGATTTCAAGTTTTTGCCAGATATGGTTGACTTTACTGCAAGACCAGAACACGTGATCGAGTGTCTCAATTTCGTTTTGGCAAAAGCTGCATTTTGAATTATTTATATACCCAATCTTAAATAACTTTATATTTGTCGGTAAGATGTGATGTAATATTCTATATTGGAACCATTGCAGTTTGTTGTCATTGGTGCATCTAAAATGGTATTTTGTTATAATTTTTCCAGTCGTCAGACAAGACTTCGTTGTTTAAGATACTTTGTTCCCATTTTTGGCAATGTAAATTTTTTGTAGTGACATCTGACAATAATGTTCTGTAAAACCGTTGCGTCCCCTTTGCATCCCTGAGGAGCTGTTTTATATTTGCTGGTAAAGTTGGGTTTGGTATTTTTGACAAAGTCTTAAAATCTATGTAAAGTGTTTTCAAATATGACTTTACTGATCTAATGAGGCCAGTAAATGTTAGAAAATCAGTTTTTAAATGATAGTGTTTTACAAAAATTTCAAAGCAGTATATGTTATCATTTAAGTCAAGTAAATCGTTGATACACCGAATTCCTTTATCATACCACTGTTTGTAAAAAATTGGTTTACATCCTACACATGTGTTTTTGTTGTACCAGAGATTTTCGTCAAGTATATCATTTACGTCATAGTCAGGTTCATTCCGAGATATAAATTGCCACCAGGCACATAAAACATCCCTATAATATTTATTGTGGATCAGTGGGAGACATTCTTCTGACAGATATTGGCAGTTATAATCGAATACATAACCAGCGCCAAACTTTGGGAGATTTGAAATAAATAGATAGCACCAACTGGACTTACATCTGAAAAACCTTCTGACCATTGATAGTTTCTGAGCATGCATTAATGTCTTTATATTTGGCATGCTGAAGCCTCCATCTTGTTTGTCACAGATAATTTGGCTTCTCTTAATTTTATCAGGTTTATTGTTCCAGATAAATTTAAAACATTTCTGTTGAAATTTATTTGTAGTTTCATTATCTGGGTCAGGAAGTACACTGAATAAATGATTTAATTTTGGGATGATCAAAGATTTTAAGACAATATTTCTTCCAAAGGGAGTGAGATTACGTGCGGACCATATGGACATTAGTGTTTCACAACTTCTTATTTTTTCTTTGTAATTTATCTCTACCATATCGTCTAAGTCTTGAGTAAATGTAATTCCAAGAAGACTAAAGTCACTCTGGTCCCAATTAAGATTTAGCTCCGAACATAGTTTCATTTTCGATCTTTTCTTTGATCCTATCCAAATGAGACGTGTTTTGTCGATGTTAACCTTTAAACCTGAAAACCTGGCGAAGAAACTAAGCACATTAAATACTGCATAGATACTGCAACAACGATTCTTGTATCTTGTTGTTGTTGCATTCCATGGTGATGTCACACCTTCCAGACACCATGTCATGTCAGTCTCACAACTGTGAGCGTAAAGAAGGAATGTGTTTCAGAAAATGAGTTGTAACTTTTGTATTTGATAATATACAATATACAATATACATTTCATATTTTCTAATTTGTGAATTTTACTGAATAACTGATGTTAGGACATTTTAATGTTTGAACTGCAATCAGTTTCAAATGATTATTTTAGGCCATTGCATACTCAATAAAACCTACATCTGTGAAAACACATAACGACATTGTACGTAAGTGAATGAATGTTGTGTTATGCCTCACACCATGACAACCTATATATAATCAGGTTTGTACCAAACAACCAACACAACACAACACAAACCAACACAACACAAACCAACACAACACAACACAACACAAACCAACACAAACCAACACAAACAAACACAACACAACACAACACAACACAAACCAACACAACACAACACAAACAAACACAACACAAACAAACACAACACAAACAAACACAACACAACACAACCCAAACCAAACCAACAACCCAACCCAACCCAACCCAACCCAACCCAAACCAACCCAACAACACAAACCAACACAACACAACACAACACAACACACAAACCAACACAACACAACACAAACCAACACAACACAACACAACACAACACAAACCAACACAACACAAACCAACCAAGATGACACACAATCAAGTAGACCTCCCTAGTTTCTGTAGTGGCTTCTCAAAACCAAATTGCTGGGAACACGTACAGACCCTGAATCCCTTCTGGGGCAGAGACAAGGATTTCACAGAGGTATTAATACCATGAGATGTAGAAGATCTTACCATGTATGGGCTTCAGGGACGATGTCATCCACAACAACATATATCATAGCACCAGCAGCAAAGGCTAAGGCATAGGGGAGGAGAGGTTCGGCAACGACCACTGCCGCTGCACCAAATAACCCAGCAACAGGTTCCACCATTCCACTCAACTGACCATACCTGCGGTGGAACAGATCAATATCAACACTCATTCAAAAATCACTGCCACGCCAGGCATTTCAGTGAGACATGTAGTAAGGAGATAAGACATTATATATTCTGGTGTATGTCTGGGATTGAAGAAAACAAATTGCTTCAGGTCTAAAAACATAAATCCCAAAATATTTTGTTTGACATGCTGGATATCTCGAACAAAAATGGTAATAATGTACATGTACATTTAAATATAGGGTAGATTGATTGGCTTATTTAACATGACGAATGATGCTGGAAAGGAATGAGTAACGAAGACATTGTTTTTTGCATAATTAACCTGACTATCCTACCCTTAACATTGCACAGGCCTTCAGGTTGGCAATGTGTACCCAAAGCAGCGTTCGAAATACCTGCCTGCCCGACCGCCAGGGACGGGTTATTTTCAACACGGACTGCCAGATTCTCAAATTTACCTGCCCGACGGTGGGGTTAAAATTTAGACATGTATATGAAGATATTTTGTGGGCTGGTAAGTTTTGGTCAGGGCTGGCAAGTTTTACATCTAACCAGCCCTGTGGTCTGGCTGAAATTTGTTTGAGTTTCATATCCTGCCCAAAGCATGCAAAAGGTTAAACAGGCACAGCTGCTTGGTGCTTTGATGCTGCAATAATACTGCATATGTTTACACTTGAAGGGAGGGAAAAAGATGCTGACAGACAGAATATACTCACATGCAAACTTCTTTTGAGTAGCTGAATATATGCATGAACAGACAGACAGACAGACAGACAGACAGACAGACAACTCTGGCAAGGGGACATTAAATAGGGCTGTGCAATTTTACCGGTAAACCGGTATATACCGGTTCAGTATCTCTCGATACGGTTCAGATTCTGCAATATATTGGGCCATCCAGAGTTAACTCCATTTGAATTATCTGCCCTTGATTTCCATAGCAAAACGATGTGCTCTAAAAGTGCCAAATATACTTCTATTTCTGTTGGTTTCATGTAACATTTTACAAGTGGAAGTGTCATGCTAAGTGGCTCCAAAATTGCCAAATATTCTACCAAATGTTTTACGTTTTGAGGGTTTGAATGGTTTCATTAGGAGGAATTAAGTGGCCTCAAATGGACCAGCTTTTATTTGGATTTTTTAGAAGAGCCTCTGGCTCTGAGTGACCATTTCACAGTTCACAGTATTGAGTTATTTTTGTTTGTTTCATCCTCAGTAAAGTACTTTTTTCACGTTTGCTATCTCCCTAACACCGAGACTGTAGTTCGGCTGAACTTAGTTTAACAGATATTTCACACTTTCACATATTCACTACATAAATTGTGGATCTAAATGTGAAAATAATAATTTTTTTCTATTTCCGACAGTACTTTAGTGTGGAGATAAAACCACTGACCATCCACTCTCAAGGCACATGCTCTATCCTCTAGAACATTGAGGTAGTCTGCCTCTGTAACAAGATGCTCATTATGCTTATTTTAACACTTCAACTATGGCTAAATCAATGATCATCAGGTTAATGCAATACATACCAAAAGCTTTTGAACACAGACATCCCTGAGCCTCTAAGTGGAAGACTAACAGCAAGTCCTTCTGGGAAGTTTTGTATACCTATTCCAAATGCTAAATTCCTGAAACAGAACATTGGGTTCACATCAATGGAATTTTCTTATTGGAACGAAACCATTCAAATATTTAACTAGAATTCCAAACTAAGCTCCCTTGCAAATTTGAACACAATATGTTTCAGTTCAAAAGTGGATTTTATTTAAAGTTCCTAATTGCTAAAATTGAGCAATATTTGAAGATTGTGTTTTAACAATGCAACAACGTAAAACTTGAAAGTTAAACCTCCTTCTCTGTATTGATCATTCTATTCTTGAAATACCAGTCAGCTCTGAGCAATGACATCAGTAACATCAGATATTGGCATCATGTACTGGAACAGGTATAATTCCAATCTTGAGAATTTACTATACACATCATTCCTAACAACCCGTGAAGGTCCGGTGTAACAGGCCAAACTTTCCCCCTGGCCAAACCTTCCCCAGGGAAACTTTGGCCTAGGCCAAACTTTCCCTCCCTTGGCCTAATCTTCCCCACCCTTGAATCAACTTTACATGTTACTTGTTTCCCATCCTTGTTCTTATATCAAAGGGGAGATTCTGGCCTAGCTAGGCTATTTCTTCCCCAACCTTGTTTTCATGTTTATGTTCATCTTGAAAAGTCAGATACGTTGACCTGTGTCGTAACAACTTGAAAACAAGATATAGCTATTCACGTGAACACATTGATAAGATATTAAACATTAGCGAACGTGTTGATGTCAAGTTCCATTAACAATTTACAGGTCATCTTCATCTTCATATGTGCGGCGTAACATGTACATGGTTCCCATTTTGTTTCAATACCTTTCTATATGGTGAGATTAAAAATGAAAGCAAGCATAAAAGCAAAGATATTATATCATCACTATTATTTTATATGATCATATACTTATTTTTTCATTTCAATAATTTACTTATCCCCACTAATTCAAAATTGGCTTATGTCAAAAGCATTACTATATTCAAAACTGTAACTAAATACCCAGTTTTTACTTGGATGTCTATATCCATTCAAAATTTTATTCCCTCACTCATGGCTTTAAATATGGCATCCATGTCGGCAACATCAACTTAACAGTTGGAAGCAGACGTAAACATCAACACAACAACAACCCAACACAATATCTGTATCAAATGCTGTATCATCTATCATTCCACTATATTCTATATTCAAAAGACAAGGTTTGATAAGGGGTATACAATGTACTTGGCCCATGGATATCTGAATCAAATTTCATTCACCCAAAGTGATTATGGATTAGTAAACAAGCTTGTGTCAATAATGTTCCATTACATTTATACATAAATACAACAAATATTAGATAATAAACAGCATGATAAGAGAGCAAGCAACCTGTGTATATTACATCTTATTTACCCATCAAATGTGCGATTGAATGTTTACATCTTATGGTGGACAGATGAAGAACTAATGCAATGTGTCTTCATAGGAATGGCGGCAGGAGCAGGATGGATTTAGAGATATATGCCGTTCAAACATGTATGCATTCAAATCACTACACCCAAGTCAGAGGCAAAAATTGACTAATTACCAAAATGTGTACCAAAATATAAGTCAAACCTACTGTCGGTTTATAAGAGCAAGGGTGGGGAAGAAGTAGCCTAGCTTGGCCAGAATCTCCCCCTTTTGATATAAAAACAAGGGTGGGGAAGAAGTAGCCTAGCTAGGCCAGAATCTCCCCTTTTTATATAAAAACAAGGGTGGGGAAGAAGTAGCCTAGGTAGGCCAGAATCTCCCCCTTTTGATATAAAAACAAGGGTGGGGAAGAAGTAGCCTAGCTAGGCCAGAATCTCCCCACTTTAGATATGAGAACAAGGGTGGGGAAGAAGTAGCCTAGCTAGGCCAAAATATCCTCATTTTCCATAGAAAATATCCTAGTTTAAACAGGGGAAAGTTTGGCCAAGGGGAAACTTTAGCCTAGCCCAAACTTTCCCTCGGGTAAGAATATCCTAGGACAAAACCTCCCTGGGGAAAGTTTGGCCTAGGCCAGATTTTCCCAGGGAAGTTTAGACCCGGGAAGAAATGGCCTGCTACACCAGGTTAGAATATTGATCTCCAGTAACCCATGCTTGTCGTAAGAGGCAACTAACGGGATCGGGTGGTCAGGCTTGCTGACATGGTTGATACATGTCATCAGTTCCCAAATGCACAGATCGATGCTCATGCTATTGATCACTGGATTGTCTGGTCCAGACTCGATTATTTACAGACTGCCACCATATAGCTGGAATATTGCTGATTGTGGCGTAAAACTCACTCACTCACTCACTCACCCATTCCTAACAATGGACTCAGAATACACAGAAAAGATGAAAAATACTTGTTAAAAATCCCAGGAAAAGGTGTATTTGTCAAATTTCCTTGAACAAAAATAGATTAATTTATTAACAACAATGAGGTGCTTATCGAATTTATTTTCTCCGTGTTGCCTTGTTTCTCTGATGATGCTAATACAAGCATTTTTGAACTTCATAAATTTTCAGTTTAGGCTGAACTGATTACCATTACCGTAATATTAAACTCAGCAGTGTGTTACAGAGCTATGAGACAAACAGTGAGCTTTCAGGGAGAACTGTTGTGAACTACACAAGATTTCTGGCCAACATACACAAAAAGGGAGATAACTCTTCACCAACTTTCAGTGCTCCCAATCACCACATCATACTATATTCCTCTCACTGCTTCACTATTATGTGACCTTGTACATGGGAATAATGTCACTGACACCACCTTCAGCAATATTCCAGCAATATCATGGCAGGGGACAACTGAAATGGGCTTCACACATTGTACATTCATGATATTTCATAGGCCAGTGCAGACAGCCAAATCTTTCTTCTTTTCAATTTTTGCTGTCTCAAGTCAGTATATAATATATCATTAACACATGGTAGTGCTACCACTAGAGCTATTTACCAACCACAAACAAACTTGAGCAATATATTTTCCACCATCAATGCAGATGTTTCTTTTGAAATATATTGTCCCTCATACATAGCACTTATGTATGTGGGTTTTTTGTCGATTATCTGTTATCCTCAAGGTAACAGGTAATAAATTATTCAATATATTTCAACTTCAGTCTATTGTGCATATGTAAACCAGCGCTTAAACATTTTCTACATAATGCTTAAAGTGACATCTACTTTGCTACAATAGTTCATGTTCTGCTCCAAATGTCACATGTCGCGTAAGATCTACTACTGTAAACCATGAAATTAATGCGTCACAAATTTAATGCGAGTGTGAGGGTCTAGTCTAAAATGCGTCATGAAATTAATGCAAGCTCAGGAATCTGTGTTGATGATAAAATGAATTGAGCTTGTTAAGCAATGAATGGAAATGAGCTGATGATGTTTTGATTACGCTGCCATGTTTGATCACGTGACGCTTGCTACTACTTGTCTTATGACAACATGTATAAACTTAATCCAACTTGAAAGACATAAGTCATCTACCAAGGTACAACAAACAAGTGGCTGGAGAATGTCCGGTCTGGCTGATGTGCTTGTGTGACTGTAGACAATGACCAGTGATTGTAACCCGTGATAATTACATGTGGCTTGAGATACCTGTAATGAGGAAGTGACCTGTATTGGTGTAATGTGTAGTGTCAACAGATTTACGTTTTCTGTCTTATATTAAGTAGACATGGTCAGACTGAAATGCATCATTATAATAATGCGAGAAGAGTACAGACGCATTTTTCGCATTAATTTCATGATTTACAGTATTCAAGCCTACAATACCAAAACAGAGACACAATTAAGGTTATTAGCAGTAAATAGGGATTAAGAAAGCAATATGGCTAAGCAAGCTGAACATGCTACAATAGCTCATTACTTCCAATATTGTAAAACTATAGGGTTTTGAAGCTTTGTTATTTTTAGTAAGCAAGCAACCCCATCTTAATTTGGTCTGCTTATTTTACACAGATATGCAGCTAAGTGGAATTCTGCATTACGGTGTAAAACCATATTCCCTCACTCATGCTTACTCGCAAATCCAGGGGGAAAATATTAACTAGCAACTGTGATGAACTGCAATATATCACGAGCAAAAGTAGTCAGTTTTTGGCGACAATTTTGACCTATGTGCCAACTTCACTGAAACATGATTTTGATATTTTCTGAAAGCATATTCAATGGAGATTTACCTCATGTAAGTACATTTTCATGTACTGACTGACTGAGTTAAGCTTTTAGCATATTCCAGCATAGGTGTGCCATCGTGCGTTGAAACATGTCTACTTTCCTCCCACTGCTCTCCACAGGCGGAACAACTTGAAACGTCCTCACACAGCCCAGTTAAACTGCGTGCATTGAGACGCCTCTCAGAATCAAGAGCAAAAGTAGTTAGTTTTATATATTTGATATATACTTAAGCCCCAAAACTATATTATACCTTGCACTTTCAAAAGTAGCTGTTTTTGTCTTCCCTATAGCACCGAAGCCCACACCTACAGCAAGGCCCTCTGAAAGGAAGCGACAGTTAGTACAAGAAAACTAAACACGTAGTACACTACAATTACGGAATGAGTTAACAGATTTTAATGACTGACTGTTTACACAAGCTACAGTTATTGAACGTAAGAACAGATAAAGATATTTCAATGTATTAACAGATTTTAATGATTTTTTAATGTATTAGATATTTCAATGATTTCTTAAATGTATTAACAGATTTCAATGATTTTTTAAATGTATTAAAAGATTTTGATTATCAAATGTATGAACAGGTTATAATGATTGTAAGTATCAACAGCTTTTAATGTTTCAATATATTACAATGATTAAATGTACTACCTGATTACAATGATTAAATGTACTACCTGATTACAATGATTAAATGTACTACCTGATTACAATGATTAAATGTACTACCTGATGACAATGATTAAATGTACTACCTGATGACAATGATTAAATGTACTACCTGATGACAATGATTGAGTGTATGGACTATCTACATCTAGTAAAGTAAGCAAGAACAACATGTGACCATGCAGGTTTGTTTTGTGATGCACGGAGACCTATATTGCTAAATGGAACCCCAAAGAGCAGCCAACTCACTGAGGAATAGTAACCTGTTCTGGATCAGATATTGCCCTAACATTGCCAAAGAACCATTAGTTACTCTCTAATGTTAACAAAAACATTTTTCCGCGTTATCAGTAGTGCTGGGAATTGGTCAAAATCTCATAATTGATGATTGGTTCATTACAACCGATCAATCATCGAAAATAATTGGTTAGCGTCATTTATGAAATTTTCCTGATTATTTTTGTTAATGGACAAAAAAATATAGAGAAAACACCCTGTAGTTCTTTGGTGTTTTTGCAAATTCCACAAAAGGCATTGGCAAATTTCACATCTTTAAAGGATGACTAGTAGGTTAGGAACATTAATTTCTTGGAGTCTTGAAGATAAATTCAACCATGACTTGGAACGAGCTTGTAGTGGTCATCAAATGTAACAGACAAAACCAACCTTGTGAAAAATATTGTTAATGCAAACAAGTGTTCCAGAATTGTTTGTGTTCAATTATGAGAAAACATGATCGATTGCTTGGTCGTTTAGTCACTGCGACCAATCTTCGATTATTTCAATTAATCGGAGCACCACTAGTTATCAGTCCTTACCTGGTATATTATGAATTGTAATGGCTACTATTAATAACAGTATTCTTCTCCAGCTTGTATTCCTGGAATCTGTAAGGTTCCTCTCAGAGACTGACAAGTCTATAGACTCATGACTAGAAGCAGCCTGGTAATAATTGTCGGTAGGCACTGGTCGCCTCTGTCTCGTGCCTGCTGGTGACTTGGAAAAGTTATCATCATAACCTGAAGTCAGTAATCATTGAATCAGTGTCAGTTGGATTTATGGCTCTCTGATGCTGAAATTGAAACAACTTATAGACATCTTATATTTTTATTTTGGTGGAAGCAAAGAGTGTGGGTCTAAAGTACTGTCGGAAATAGAAAAAACTGTTTTTAGGCTGTTACTCTGTATCCCTAAAATTTACACAATTGCAAATAGCATATGTCGAAATAACCCACATCGGCCTAACTGGACGTTCAGGGGGATGCGTAATAGGATATCCAGAAAAGCATGTTTACTCGTAACATCGGGCAAAACTTAGAAAAAATATGAATAGCTGCTGAAAACAATAGATCAGACTATAGATGGCAATGAGGTCACTCAGCCAGGTATGACGACGGACCGTCGACTCACATGGCATGAAATGCACGTGCTGCCCACAGGCACAAGGGGTCATCTCAAAGATATTTTATGTTTTTTCATGTGTATTGAATATGTCTCTATTGATTATCTTATCTTAGGTAATATCTCAGTTCCCCCAACCACGGTCTGTGACACCAGTCCTGGGTTCGCTTTTGAGACGACCCCTCCTACCTGTTTCTTTTTATAGTGATCGTGAGATGCCATGGTAGCTACATATTTAATAGTTTCAGTATTAAAGTTATTTTTTTTTACGTCTGCTATCGTTTATAACGAAGCTAAGTCTAATTTCAAAATGATCATTTAAAAAGTGTCCTTTGTAATACAATATCATTGCACACTAATTTGCATAAAGCCATGGTCTGTTCTGAATAAGTCGCATTGGACTTAGAAAAACCTGCATTGCTCATTTCTGCACTAATCTCTCCTCAGTAAAATCCTTCTTTTACGTTTCCTATCTCCCTCCCACTGCGACTGTAGTTAGGCCGAACTTAGTTTAACAGATATTTCACACTTTCACATATTAACTACCTACATTGTAGATCTAAATGTGAAAAAAATTTTTTTTTCAATTTTTCTATTTCCGACAGTACTTTTAGTTCTGCCTTGACAAGGAACATAATCATGAAGAACCTGCTATTCAATAAAAAACAACAGTGTATCCTGGCAGGGCTAAGGGAGACAACCTGAAAAGGAACGACTTCTGTGCCATAGAAATCCTTACTTCTTTCCCAAGGGACATGCCTGTTTAATTTGGACTGGTAATGGCAGAACTGGCAATTTAAGCCTTTTTCTACAAACATGCACATTTACACAGAAGCCATTTCATAATGGATGGTGTAGGTAGAGACTTTTTGTTACTGTTGTTTTATCCATGACAGCACTGAGTACTGAAACAAGACAATCCTTTCTAAATGCATAAAATTTTGAAAATATGGCTGAAACAGTACTGATGAAACATTAAATCTCGTGAATCTCTACAATGACAGAGAGCTAGTTACTTAATGTTGCTGCTATGCTGCTGTCAGCAATGTTCCAGCTATATCAGAGTGGGCTGCAGATTTGTTTGTTTGTAGTTCTAACACCACACTCAGCAACATTCCAGCAATATGACAGCAACCTATACATGATCAAGCCTGGACCAGACATTTCCGTGAATGATAAAGTGATCTACGACCCATACCATGCTACCCAATCCATTTGGTCGCCTCATACAAGACTGACTGCCTGACTGACTGAGTTTGGTTTTACGCCGCTTTTAAGCAATATTCCAGCAACATCACAGCGGGGGACACCAGAAATGGGCTTCACACATTGTATCCATGTGGGGATTCGAACCCGGGTCTTCGGCGTGACGAGCCAACGCTTTAACCACTAGGCTATCCCCCTCATACAAGAAGCACAGGTTGTCAGGGACCTACCCTTACATGGAATCTCCCTGGAGTAAATTAGGAGTAGGAGTAGTCTATGACAGGCAAACCAGTAATTACTTGCTTTCATGGATCAGGGCCATAGGTTCAAGACATATAATATACTAGTTACACATTTTAACTAATGAAACCTCAATTTGAAGACAAATATTTCGCCCACAATCCGTTCAAGGTATGTATCACAACAGCTTCCTGACGGTCTACACATCATATGTACCAGGGTGCCGTTGTACAAAGCTAACTTAACACTAAGGTGATCGTAACTCACATACCATAACAAAGACTTACGACTGGCGTAGCGTTGAGGTTACTTTGTACAATGGCACCCTAGCTCTTTACCCTTGATGTAAGTGACACACTTACCTTGAGCAAATTCGGGAGAAGGGGAATAATTCAAATTGCCATCTTTTTCTAGTTTGGTCTCCACATCCAGGGAAAGGGCAAGATCGGATGGGCTTCCTCCCTTAGATGAAAAAACATCAATGTCATCAGATTAGGAAGTGGATAAAGGCATGAACAACGGACTTGATGACACCATTAGCATGGTTAAACACTGTGACAAGTGTAAGGTTTTACGCCACTGTTAGCATATTCCAGCAATATCACGGCAGGGGACACCAGAAAGGGGCTTCACACATTACCCATGTGAGGAATCAAACCCAGGACTTCGGCATGATGAGCGGATGCTCTAACCACTGGGCTACCCCACATAAATACTTGTTGAAACAATGTCCATAACATGAGCTGTATTCCATATACATCCTATACCACCAGAGTACATTATGTGAATTGTTTGAGTAAGTCGTTATTCCTTGTAGTGGCCCTGCATATACAACATGCCAAGTTTGAAATGATTTGATTCTGACAAGAGAAGAGGCAGCCATGATTGACTGTTTTGCACTAATGCACATTGTGTGTCTGAGAGTCTATATCTCCCTTGTGACGAACACTAACCTGTTCTTACAGTGACTGTCATAACATTTACTTTGAAAGGTCACTCTATTATTTAAAGATATTCTTTAAAAATACTGTGAAATGTCAACTAACTCATGTTTAGCTGAACATACCATATTAGGTAAAACTATGTCTGCAGCATAGACAAATAGGGCTCCAAGAACAAATCCCACAGCCACAGGGATGAAAGCCCACTCTCCATTCGTTCCATAAAGTCCGGAGTGCTCAGCAAACTCTATAGCTGGAGCCAGCAGGGACCAGTAGGAAGCTGCTGTCATCACCTACAACACACGTGGATAACACTCATAGATAACACACTGGGAACCAATAACACCCATGAAGAATAACTTTGGATAACACTCATAGATAACCCACATGGAAACAATGATAACACCCATGAAGAATAACTATGGATAACACTTACAGATAACACACAGGGAAACAATAACACCCATGAAGAACTGTGGATAACACTCATAGATAACACACATGGGAAACAATAACACCCATGAAGAACTGTGGATAACACTCATAGATAACACACATGGAAACCAATGATAACACCCATGAAGGATAAGTATGGATAACACTCATAGATAACCCACATGGAAACAATCATAACACCCATGAAGAATAACTATGGATAACATTCATAGATAACACACAGGGAAACAATAACATCCATGAAGAATAACTGTGGATAACACTCATAGATAACCCACAGGGAAACAATAACACCCATGAAGAATAACTATTGATAACACTCACAGATAACACACAGGGAAACAATAACAACCATGAAGAATAACTATGGATAACACTCATAGATAACACACAGGGAAACAATAACACCCATGTAGAATAACTATTGATAACACTTACATAGATAACACACATGGGAAACAATAACACCCATGAAGAATAACTATGGATAACACTCATAGATAACACACAGGGAAACAATAACAACCATGAAGAATAACTATGGATAACACTCATAGATAACACACAGGGAAACAATAACACCCATGAAGAATAACTTTGGATAACACTCATAGATAGACACAGGTGGAAACACAGGGAAACAATAACACCCATGAAGAATAACTTTGGATAACACTCATAGATAACACACAGGGAAACAATGATAACACCCATGAAGAATAACTATGGATAACACTCACAGATAACACACAGGGAAACAATAACACCCATGAAGAATAACTATGGATAACACTCATAGATAACCCACAGGGAAACAATAACACCCATGAAGAATAACTATTGATAACACTTACAGATAACACACAGGGAAACAATAACACCCATGAAGAATAACTTTGGATAACACTCATAGATAACACACAGGGAAACAATAACACCCATGAAGAATAACTATGGATAACACTCATAGATAACACACAGGGAAACAATAACACCCATGAACAATAACTATGGATAACACTCATAGATAACCCACAGGGAAACAATGATAACACCCATGAAGAATAACTATGGATAACACTCATAGATAACCCACAGGGAAACAATAACACCCATGAAGAATAACTATTGATAACACTCACAGATAACCCACAGGGAAACAATAACACCCATGAAGAATAACTATGGATAACACTCATAGATAACACACAGGGAAACAATAACACCCATGAACAAAAACTATAGATAACACTACAGATAACCCACATGGAAAACAATCACAGATAACCCATAACATGGAAACACAAGGATAATAACACCCATGAAGAATAAGTATGGATAACACTAACTATGGATAACACTCACAGATAACCCACAGGGAAAACACTGATAACATCCATGAAGAATAAGTATTTATTACCCACGAGGTCAACGTATGGGTAGTTGCATACTAATCTCGTACGTCACACGAGTGTCGTATCGCGTTGACCTGTGTCGTAACGACTTGACCTGAGATTCTAACGATTTGATTGGATAACCGATTAGGTCACATTCTGACGTAACTATTTTTTCATTCATAACAAACACGGGAATTCATTCATTCTACAACTTAAATGCATTGTTGGAATGTAAACATTGCGAACCTTGCCGTGTCGCTGTTTAATTGGGAGTCGAACAGAGACATTATATCCTTCTAAAAACATAAACGCAATGTTTCCACCAGTGATGTTAGCCGAATGAAGCAACAGGAAACGAGGTGCTACGGAGTAGTTTACTGTAAGAGGCTGTACGAGGCGATGACAACTGACATGCATCGTGACGTTGGTTACCAAGGCAGTGACATCATTACAGTGTGACGTCATGCAAATATTGTACTACAGTACAAAACTCTTCCGCAACCTCTTTATGAAACCGGTTTCGGTTTGAAACCAAAAACATAACAAAAATACGCTATTTTGTCAATTTAATGCATGTAAGACGTGGGTAATAAATAAAATACCACACTTTCTCATTACTCATATACAAACTGAATCTATCCTAAAGATTCTGACCTTCCTATGTTATCAGATACCACAGGAAGGACACTCGTTCGTGATAATTCGTATGTAATGAGACCTCGTGTAGTATTCTCTATGGATCACACTTACAGATAACACACAGGGAAAACAATAACACCCATGAAGAATAAGAATGGATAACACTCATAGATAACCCACAGGGAAAACACTGATAACACCCATGAAGAATAACTATGGATAACATTCATAGATAACACACAGGGAAACAATAACCATGAAGAATAACTATGGATAACACTCACAGATAACACACATGAAAACACTGATAACACCCATGAAGAATAACTATGGATAACACTCATAGATCACACACAAGGAAACACTAACAACCATGAAGAATAACTATGGATAACACTCACAGATAACCCACAGGGAAACAATAACACCCATGAAGAATAACTATGGATAACACTCACAGATAACCCACAGGGAAACAATAACACCCATGAAGAATAACTATGGATAACACTCATAGATAACAAACAGGGAAACAATAACAACCATGAAGAATAACTATTGATAACACTTAGATAACACAGGGAAACAATAACACCCATGAAGAATAACTATGGATAACATGATAACACACAGGGAAACAATAACAACCATGAAGAATAACTATGGATAACACTCATGAAACACACAGAATAACTATGAAGAATAACTATGGATAACACTTACAGATAACACACAGGGAAACAATAACAACCATGAAGAATAACTATGGATAACACTCATAGATAACACACAGGGAAACAATAACAACCATGAAGAATAACTATGGATAACACTCACAGATAAAACACATGAAAACACAAGAAAACACCCATGAAGAATAACTATGGATAACACTTACAGATAACAAAAAACAATAACAACCATGGATAAACCACTTGGGTAGCACAAGTAGAAAACACCCATGGATAAACCCTTGGATAACACTCACTGATAACACATTTGGAAAGCAATTATGGATTGTACTTCTGGATAAGACTCATGTAGACTCAACACACTTGGATAAGCCATATGTTAACACACACAGTTAGCTCTCATGGATAACACATAAGTAACACCCAAGGATAACATGGATAAGACTTATGGACAAAACAAATGGATTTAAACCAAGGATATAACAATTCAGCTGTTGTACACTGTACCACAGTACAGATATTAAATCAGTAGGTCATGTATAAAAACCAGTATATACAGACATGATAATTTTGACAAGCTAAAAAATGTGAAATTATATTTGCTGCTTGTATCGTGTGTGTACAAGAGGTCTCAAGACAACATATCTCTTAATGATGGCAACAGTTTGAGCTGCACTTTGTTTCCCTTCAATATTATAAAGAATATCTTTATAAGTGAAGTTTCAGGTAGCACATTACAAATCATATCATGACCTAACTATTGACATATCAGCCGTGCACCAATCCCCTCTACCCTATCCTCGATATGATTAGATATACTATACACTAAAATCTCAAGCCCCTAGCGACACTTCAGGGAATATTCAAATTTATTTTCAAAATATTCACATAAATACTTACCCCTGCAGCAAATCCAAGACTTCCATCGAGTATTTTTCTCTGAAATTTGAATTGCATATTTTACATGTGTTTGAGCATTGTTAAGTGAAAGTCAAGAAGCACCACACTATTCACTGTGTAAATTGCCCTGGTCTCTAAGAACACTGACAAAGGTAGATAGGAATTTTATCAACCTGATGAGTTAAACTGGTCAGAAGACACTGAGTAGTAGACAATAAATGTAGTTTAAACATTGATAAAACTAAAACCTTTTAGATAATAATTACAAGACTACTTTAATCGCCTTCGAAACTGCTGTGTTTTCTGCAAATCACAAAAATGATACACAAGAAAAGATGGACTGTAGGTTATCTTTTGGGGCTAAGTATTGGGCGCTTGTAAACAAATGGTGAGGACCCTTACAGACTGGTCAAGAAGTTGGTCTGGCATTTTGCAGTGAATATGGTTCATAGAAAATTATGTTTACAAACCCCCCCAAGATACGTGTGAGGTTTCAACTTATTGAGAAGGTGAGTAGGCTTTGGTCAACAAGTATTGTCAGGCCTGCAAACTTGTTTCAAGACAGTCCAGTGTCTGCTTACGCAAGCATGCATCAGTCTATCATTAATCAACACCATGATCATGGTATTTACAGTTTAATATTTATAATGCATTAATAATTTCATCCATGATTGAAGTAATTAATTACAGACATGTAAATATGGCAGTTTCTGAACAAGGATGCAAAGATAGGATTCCTACAAAAAACTCTGAGCTGCTGTATTAACATGCGTAAGTCTTATCAGCCATATGTGTCACCTTCAACAGACCTAGACTATGTAGGTCACTGGATCACTAGGGCTGGTTATAAATATCAAAGATCTGAAACATGGGAAAGATGATTCATCATTATCAGATTGATCATTACCAACATGAAAATTGTGTCATCTATAATATCATACATTAACTGTTGTGATGAAATAAAGTTTTAACTAACACAGATAATACACGTAGTTAAGTCTTTCAGGGATAGAAATAAAAAAAATTGTAAGTGTGCCTTAAGGCACCAGATAAATATTTTAAGCCTTTCAGAAATCAAGTGTGCCCACTTATTTTTATAATAAATGACAATGATGATTGTATTTGAATTTATTGTTAAACAAAGAAATGGGTTTATGAGCGTTTAGATATGTATGGCATTATTCAATTTTGAAAAAAATGATTGTTTGGAGGATTAAATGATTAAAGTCGAGTTATTTCTCAAAAAAATTAGGCATGCCATAAGGGCACCGAGAACATCTTTTAACCGTGCCATTTCAGTATTTACCGTGCCAAGGCACACTAATATATGGGGTATTTCAAACCCTGTCTTTATTCATGGGCTGATTCTACATTATGTTCAGGATTGCACACTGTCAGTAACCCAAGCCTACATCACATATGTCACCAATTACCAGTGATGTTGAATTTTTCAGATGTTTTTTCTTCATTTTGTTCAACGTTCTCTGATATTTACCAATAATCAATTGACATTCGGTTAACGATTATTGATCTTTGTGATCTCTATTGATAGCCAGCCCTATCAATAATATCCAACCATGGTTACATGTGTCTTAGACACGCCTTTGCATATTTAGACAACATACCATTATAATGATAAATTAATTCAATTTCCAGTTCCCTAACTACAACCTCTAACACGTCTAAAGTCAACACTTGCTGCAACAGCTTGCTATCAAAAATAAATTCTTCATTATGTCAATAAAACAAGCACAATTCATGCACAGGAGCCCAATTTATCTAAGGTTAAACATGAACTATCGACTCAGTTGGTTTAAAGCTGAAATGACATTTTCCCATTAATTTCAGACAAAACTAATATTATTATCTCACTGAACACACAGAACAGCCTGTTATCTAAAATATTAATGATAAACTGCAGCAATGATGTCTGATATTTCATACAGGCAATAATCAGAAATATTATAAAATATGGAAAATTAGTTCATAGCACATGATGTAGCACATGACACGTATGGTATATTCTTTGAATGGAATGATGTCAGAAACACCACCAGTTAAACAAAGCCATGTCACGTCTGCTGTAGATGTCACAGCTGTGACACAAGCCGTGACATGGTGTGGGGAGAACACGCTAAACCCAATACATCCCATAGACAGATTTATTTGCACTGCGAGGTTTCCTTTTACAGAAACACATTTGATTTCTAATGGCACATAAGATTGATTTACCTCTTCAGAATAATTCAACATTGTTCAATACATACAACTAATAAACATGATAAATATTTTACAGTGATGCCATGACAGGGATCATCATGATCATCCATTACAAGCAGGAGCATCATTTTGAGATGAAATGTTGTTGAAATATGCATTCATCTAATAGGATATTTATTTACCTCTGGAGATACATTCCGGAGGAAGTAATATTCCAGGTAAAACGTTCCAATGGAATTTGTTTCCAGGGATATCATTTTCACAGACAGTTTTTGGAATAATTTCTCAAATAAATATCATTTCTTCCAGAAAAATAAATAATGCACAATATGACAGGAAAAACTGGGGAAGGGAGGTGTTAATACCGTTATATTTTGTTTATATGACTATAAACTGCTATCAATGACACACATAAATTGGTCTTGTCACAGACACAACTTCAGAACCTATGACTTGAAGTTCGCATGGCTCCCACATCAACTTCAAGTGATATCCATTTTGTACAATCACTACCTCAGCTGTTCAACAATATGGCAGGTGTGTCATGAGCGTTGAAATACTACCTTTATGGCGCATTTGAACATCACATAGATCTGCTCATTCTGCAATCCAGATGATCAGGTTGCGGATCAATTGATAACATGATTTCTGTTCAAACATATTCAAATGGATTTGCATTTGTACAGGCAATCCCTTCTTGATCTGATTTGCCTTCAGTTATATTTTATTTCAAGACTGACATTGCAACACTTTGGTATGGCTTAAACAAGTTAAAACCTATTTTCTGGGTAATTTGAATAATAGGCCATTGCATTTTGAAAGAGTGAGTGAGTGAGTATGGTTTTACACCTCTTTTTAGCAATATTCCAGCAATATCACAGCGGGGGACACCAGAAATGGGTTTCACACATTGTACCCATGTGGGGAATCGAACCCGGGTCTTCGGCGTGACGAGCGAAAGCTTTAACCACTAGGCTTCCCCACCGCCCCTCATTTTGAAAGACATCACTAACCATGGATCATATTCAATTGTAACTTGAAATAAATTCAACATAAACTAAGTAATATTAGGGATAACTGGGGCAAAAAATGTAAAGGAACTAAAAATTATGTAGCACAATAAGCAAATTTGACAAAGCTTTGGCAAAAATAAGTAACCTCTGTGACCTTTGGAAAAAAAGACAAACGTGAAGAAAATGCTTGAATAAGTAGAAGTAGTGATTTGAAGAAAAAGGGATTACCATGTAAATCCATTTCATGTGTCATGAAGATAAGGGTGGTGGGGTGGCCTACTTGTTCATGCATCACACCAAAGACCCGGGTTCGATTCCCCACATGGGTACAATGTGTGAAGCCATTTCTGATGTCTCCCACCGTGATATTGCTGGACTATTGCTCACCATACTCACTCACTGACTCATTTATATATGGGGACAACACAAGAGAATGATGCCTATTTCCTGGGATGACACCATAACACCATAACATAACAAAGTGGGAAGCAGAATTGACAGTCTTGAAGAAAATATCAAGCTGTGATGAAGTACTTGTTTGTGATTGTTTTTTAGACTGTGTCTTGATCAGTAGGCATTTCTCAGGAGAGAATACATTCCATTATCAAAGACATTTTGGCAACAAAGAAACCATCATCTCATTGGCTTAAAACTCTGACATCTGATCAAAAACACACAATTCCTGTGATAAACCAGCTCTGTTTGTAGCTGATCCAGAAAGGTTCTTTGTGACTATGGTTGAAACCTAGGTTCATCACCCACAGTCTAAAAAACAATCACAAACAAGTACTTCATCACAGCTTGATATTTTCCAAAGGTCACAATCTCAAGTTACTGCTTGTTGTGTACATACCTCCATGACATTATGCAATAACAAAAATGTCACTACTATGCAAATTGTAGGTAACAGGTTTAAAAACTAATGAAAGAAAATGCCGACACAAACTCAGCCTGTAAATAAAGCTGCTAGTCTGAAGCCCTAATTAATAAAATTCTGTTTGGTCTAAAAAGCTAAGCTGAGAATAGTCATACAGCATTAAATCTATTTAAAATGGAGCTAAAGGTGAAGTTAGGACTTTCATACTTTAAATATTCTGCACACATTGCAATCTCAACCTCTAATGTATATCTCTATCAGGCACTATCAATAATATTTCATCTTAACAACTCAGGTGCTTAGTTTGCCAAGTCTGTATGAAAATAACATTGCCAAAACATTTCCTCATATTTATAAGCTAGTGAAAATGTAATTACTCTAAAGGTACAGGTACATTTTACATGCTTCAGGCTATTGAGATGATAATGAATTTTGTATCTTTCACAATATACCCTTAAGCATGTTAAGCACATTAAGACACAGAAACATGTTTGAAAATAACACCCTTTACAAAAATATCATTCTGACAATTTTTCAACTGTGGGCAAATGAGTAGAGATTAACAGTGAGTCTGTTCTGAACAACATCGACATATGTCGAGGTTAAATAAATCACAGCTGGTAGAGAACACAATAATTATATACTACAATAATTATGTGGAGAACAAACATTTCAAATGAATTTAATTATTTAACCTTTTATACACTTGGTTCTACTGATCCTATCCCAGTGGTATGTTACTGTTACAGAACACTTGTAAGCTGGGACCCACATCTGTCACTGTGCATGCTCCAGTGATTTAATGGCTAGGATGATCAAGGAGATACACAGATATACAGCCTTCAGGAATCACACGAAAACTGATCTACATGATAAAATGGATGTATCATTACAATGTATCATTTCTTGCCCACTAAGAATTTTGAAAGTTACCTGAAGGATAGATTAAATTCAAAATACCTGTTTTATACTGATGTTGTAGACAAATCATACTGACATCTCTGCTGATGTCACTGATGAGTGAATATAATGGATGAGGTGTCAACTATTATACAATCGACAGCTCTAAAAGTCAATGCTAAAACCAGCAGGATCATTGCTGGTAAAATGTTCAGTGGTCTTCAGGACTTGATATAATGTATCTTTTATCATGGTAATCTTTTTCTGTCAATAAACTATCTCACCTTAAAATTTGGTAAAAATCTAACATATGTGAACCAACAATTTCATTTCATGCTCAGAACTATTAATTTAAATACGTTGAATGTCACATTTTGCACGTTCAGTGTTATTCCAGTGCTATGATGGAGGCCTGTTAACACTCAAATCTGGACCAAACTATCAAGTGATTGATATTATGAGCATTGAGTCATGATGTCAGGGGAAGCTTAAGTCCATGTGTTGGACCACCTGATCAATTTAGCTGCTTCTCTTGACAAGCATTGGCTGCTAAGGACCTATTCGGGTAACCCCAAATTGTGAACATTGAGGGCAAATAAAACAGCACATATGGTAGTCATCATCCTAAGTTTGACATCCTTAGAGGTATGACAAAGAATTATCAAGAGGATATACATTGTATTTTAATGACAGATCAAAATTTTGACAGTTGCTGTAATGACACCGCCTACATGAAAAGATATTGTCATAGCTTCTAATAGAGCAATGAACTTGTAATGTCTAGATCTGCATTGTTCATGAGCAAAAGCTTCTGCATTTTGTGGAGAGTACAAGAGAAAGCTCAGTGCTTACCATCAGCAGCTACTTAATCTATCTGTTGCTCTGTAAAAGTGATTTTGATTTTGAACATGTTGATATGGAGTCCAGCTAGGCTGTTCCTTACCGTTTTCCTAAAAGATCCCCAGTCAAATTATAATTGCTCTTCATATGCAAATGATATGCTTGAGAAAAGTGCATGGGTTTTGACTTAACAACAGATGTAACACAATTCACTTCCTAAGACGTTAGCTTTCAAGGAAGAGAACTTATATATTTTCTATTCTGCAACAATATGTTTACTTGCTTAGTTGGAAATCAAATGGGTAAAGAATTTTACCATCAGCAATGGCAGACCCACATCAGTACCCTCTTGATAATTCAAACCCAACAAGTACATACAAAGGTACAAGATAAAACACAAAAGCCTAAATATTTTAGATAAGTCTTTAGGAAGTGAATGGTGTAGCATTTTTGTGGGAACACAATTCATGTACATTATGGCAAGGATGTTAGTGCAGTAATCATGTAATGGGAAGAAAAACAGACAAATGGAGAACTCAGCCATACCTTGATGTTGCTTTATATAAAGGAGAGATCTGGAAAAATTCCTAAGAACCATAAACGAGCAGTCAGGTACCAATGTTAAATCATCAAAACCTCATTATTTTAATACAGATTGCCTTGCTAATAAAATTGAAACAGATCCTCTGAGATTATCAGTGTTTGTGTCCTATTATCATACCAATGTGAAAAAAACACAGCATATATTTGTACTTAATTTTGTAGGGATGAGTGAACAGTATTTCCATGGCTTTTCATTTAAAAACCAAATGTGAAAACATTAATGACTTTTTGGCTGTAATTACATTTTGAGAATGTGATTTTATACAACCACAAAGTGAATGAACTTTCTCATTTATTTGGGTAAACTTTGTGAAACGATCGACGTGTCAACCACTGAAAAACCCTATCAGCTGTTGTCACTTCGTGACAGGTCGTCAGGTGTGGGATTTCTGAGCACCATCCCAAGACATGCTGCATTTCTCACTGTCAAAAAAGGTAATGAAATACCGTAATGGATCCAGTCTTACCTGGCCGCTTTTGAAGACAAATACAAGCCCCGATCCAAGCGCTGTCAATGCCCAGGTAAACAGTGTACCCAGTAGGGCCTGAGCGACAGGACTGTACTCCTTCAACATTGCTTCGCCTCGAAACACACCGGAAGTAAACAACGTGTTAGCCTTATATATTGGAAAGCTATACAGGGGAGGTAACTCATTGATACACGCATAAATACTACTCATAAAGTTATCGTTTTCACTTCATATTTTGCAAGACGTGAGCAAAACTATTTCTAATTTGTCGTTATTTTTTAAAAACACATTATAACTAGAGATACACTCCTTTTGTTTCTATTCTTTAAACCCATGACTGTATCTCATATATGTTTAAAACTGTGATGACTTTTCAATATTTTTAAATAATAATTTATTTATTTTAAAACATTCGCTTCATTAAACAATACCATTTAGAATAAAAACTATCCTGTAAAATTGCTTGCATTCATCACTTGCTGGGTTTTTTTTAATGTTTATTATGTTGTCACTAACAACCAGGCCATATGAAAGAGGACTGTAAATGTTTCAGTTTGGATCCTGTCTAGTGATTGATATTGTGAACAACGATCCACGTAAATTGACATGCTATCAACCAAGTGACCATGCAAATCCATAAAATTCCTTCTGTTGCTGGGGATATTCACAGGGATTTGTTTGTAACTGTTTTGACACTTTGAACTTTATGATGCAGTTTAATCATGTAAATATGTAAGCGAGTGTGAGTGAGTTTAGTTTTACGCCACTTTTAGCAGTATTCCAGCAATATCACGGCAGGGGACACCAGAAATGGGCTTCACACATTGTACCCATGTGGGGAATCGAACCCGGGTCTTCGATGTGACTAATGAACGCTTTAACCACTTGGCTACCCCAAGTGCCATATATATATATATTTATGATTTATGACATTAACAGACTTTCTAACATATTGGATATTTAATTTGACGGATGAAATTTATTGTGACTGGTATATGGACAACATGAAAAAGGCAATATCACTCTGTCATGCTGAAAATTTGAACCGCAAAGTTTGTTCTGCTTTAAGTACATGTACGAAACTTTACCAAGTTTACAACCATTCACAAGAAGAATTGTCTACCAAACATTGCTTGTTATCCATAGATCCACAGAGTTATGACTCACATACAATTCTGTCTAATAATATAGGTAACTATATCTGCCATTCTAATTCAACATAGTATGTAACAGGAGTTCTGATTGGTCAATGCTATATATTTCCGATCATATAATCAGCCTATACAGTCGCAATTTGAAAACCGATTCACTATACCCTTTGAATGTATCCCTACACTATAGGGGTAACACTGTTCACGGGACATTATCATTTGCTGAAGCCCTAGGTCTTCCATTAACTCCGCTATTATAGCCAAATGGATGGAATTTGTGCTAAAAAAGTCAAAACAGTATCATAATTTAAATGTAAGTTTACTTCAAACAACTCGAAACGGGCTGTTGACCCAACACTGTTAAGATGGTTCCCAGCTCCCTTTGCGCGCGTATATTGCGATATGCGAGACAGGGCCCAGCTTACAACACTGTTAGATCACGGAACAAGATTTATGACGTCATAATGGAGCGTGACGTCACTCGCTGTGACAACAGAACTGATAATGGCCAGTCGTCATAGAATCAGCGGGCTATTATCATTTGCAGCGGCCTGTTCATTTCTGACAACTAGAGAGCGCTTTCATGATAATTCCTCCATTTTAGCTATAACACTATAATTTATTCATCATTGTCAGATTTAGTCAGTGTGCACAGAACAAATATCGAAGTTTGAAAAGGGAACTACTTTTTCTGGCAATGGTGTAAGTTCAAGGAGTAATATGATTAAAGGTCACATGCAACGTAAAACACAGCTTTGTAGATTCTGATACCTTTTGGTATGGACTTACAGATACAAATCATCAAAAGTGCAAATTCAACTTATAAAGTTGGAAAATAACGCGATGAAACACACACACACACACAGAATTTCTAACTGTGATATAGATATGTCATTGTCACAGACAAACTCAATGTCTGTTTCATTGACACCTATGTGTGTGTGTGTCTGCCTGCCTGTCTGCTAATGACAGTATTCAATACGCAACTTCGATCACTGACCACATTCAATTTGAACTTAACACCTATCAGGCTATACACCATAAACAAAACGCATTGATTTATGGCCCGAGTTCGGTCTCTGTCACATTATGTAATTACACAGATAGGCAGGTGTGATACTTGTACACACGTTATGATGCCTGTTGATTGCACAATGTTATACACAAAAAATGAGCATGTATTTACAAAACCCAACATCTCTATATACACACACACAATGAGCCGTGAGGGCATCGGCAAATGAACCAGCCAATGTAAGTCCTCGTTACACTTGAGTGCACACCCACCCGCTCTGACTGGGTTCGGTATCCCTTGTGCTTCGTTTCGAGGGAAGTACAAAATATTGCACTTTTGATTTGCGATTATACGCTTATAATTTTGTTTATACGTTTTTTCATTATCAGCAATGTATAGTATATGTCATGGATAAGGTATAATTGTGTTTTAATCATGTTTGATTTTTTGGTTGCATGTGACCTTTAACCTTTGACCTGGGTTAAATATTGAGTTTCTTTCCCGAAAAATAACAGTGTAAAAAGAGTTGAATTAGAATGGGGATAACTTAGTCTCTCGTACAGACCCTGAAGCAAACATATCCAAGAAAGCACACGCAAGTCTAGAAAATGTGGCAAGTCTAGATTTCCACAGCTTCTGAAAATGAAGAATGTCTCAGGGCTCCTTTCCATTATATTTTATTTTTTTTCACTAAAATATGCTCATTTCATAGACTAGTTGTTAGTCTAGGGATAACTGTACTGTTTGACGAATTATATACCAGTGGTTATATAGCCGCAAATTTTAGTTATATCGTCGACGCGTAAGCACAGTATATCATCCCCTTAATGAAACTAGATTTATGGTGCAACGTAAGCAATTGAGGTGAGTTCTAATCCCAAAGCAATGCAGGTGTCAGTGGTTTACTGTGTTGGGTATTGTGCTGACAAATCAAGCACTGTTCATCGGGCAGATTGGGAACTGGAACCACAGATCAGCAGATCCTGACACAACTAAAGCATGCAACTCTGAAGCATGTATTCAGGGCCTACTGAGCCACAAATGAGGTGGAATCGGAAGAACCAGAGTCACTGTAGGCTAAAACATCATAAAGTGAAAACATGCTTGTCATTGCTGAATACCTTGTACTTCCTGCATATCAAATTCCATCATGGTACTTGTAGATACAGCTGAGTAATGTGAAAACAAATCTATGTTATTCGTTGTAACAAATGGTACAATATATGTTTAGTTATAAGGGAAAATGTATGAATGTAATTACTACCAGCAACTGTTACAACCTCTGTACTTCTGTTTCCAGTATATTTGATGGCTTCTGATAATAACTATACTATCACTGGTAATTTGTCTAAGCAAATGCATTATTCACCATGTGTTCTATCAGCTCTTGTGAAACTCTATGCTGTAATGTCTAATTTTTCCAACAAAGGCTGATTTGTAGCACTGAAAAACTCTTTTCAGCCACTTTCACCACTGCAGGGATGTTGGAGTAGCACAGTGGTTAAAGTGTTTGCTTGTCACACCACATGTCTGAGTTTCATACCCTTGAATGAGTGAGGCCCATTTCTGGTGTCCTCTGCCATAATATAGCTGGAATGTTGTTAAAAGTGATGATTTCTATAGCTGCATCCTGTGTCTGGAATCACAAAAAACAATGGTTGATAACACGAGCAAAGATTCATGTCATTGTCATGTGAACACACATAAGACAATACCTCATTGACCTCAGTGGTACAACTGCAGCAGTCTTTTTTAGATAGTTCACTCATTTATGACAAAGAAAATAAGAGCAAAGGACTTTAAGAAAATTGTTTATTGTGGATGATATATCACAAAACATGTGCAAAATATCTAAACAATGCAATAATGGATATACAAAACAATCAAAATCTATGCAAGTATAATAAAAGATTTTGTAATAAGTATAGACAACTATACCTGTAGATTAACAATGAGTTCCCATGAGATTTAAGCCAGTGAATTCTCAAGAAGGCAGATACAAATGTATCTGTATGTGTATTTGTGTCTATAATGTTGTTACACTTAAAGGGACTATTTTTGCAAGAACACATGTACATGTATAACAAATATCAGTAAGACACTGTAAGATTCATCTTGAAACAATTTACTGGGGACAATGGTTTAAACATATTTTATTCCATTCAAGAAGAAAGAAAAGGATTGGCAAACAAGCCTAAGTGGCTTATATTAATGCCGCTCCATAATACATATGAAGGTTCACATTTGTGCAAAATACATATTTATAGTGGTTATAACAAGTTATCTCTGAATAATAACAATCATGGATATCAACAATTTATCTTGGTTCAGTTTCTCGTGGCCAGTTGATACAAATAAAAAAAATATAAGAGAAGCTACAAAACTTTATGAATCAAAGCGTTTTGATGTAATAATGAATTGATGGACTGACCGTGAGAATATCCATATTAGTGTGATGAGATACCGAGTTATTGCCATTTAGCACATCCCGGAGGGAGAACCTTTCACATAGAAATACGATTAGAGTATCGAGTGGTGGTATTATATCTAGGACACATGAAAAATAGTGGAATACATCCTCATGATCTTGTGAGCAGGAACAAGAAGCATTATCAGAAATGAAACGATTATACTTATCACTGTTTAAGTCACTGCATCCCAATCTAAGGCTTACAGTGTATTATTTGACAAAATCGGCTACCAAAATTTAGATCGAACATTGTGTTGGTATTAACTTGTGGTGTGATTGAATTCTTAAACTGTCCAACAGAGGAAGCGTTTGTCGCATTTGTAGGTAGGTCATTCCACAGTTTAATTGTATCGGGCAAAACGATTTGGCGTAATTAGCAGATTTTACATCTTATAGACTGATAATTTTCATTATTCCTAAGATTGTAGTTACTGTTATCAGACACATTCGCTGGAGCAAGATCACAAAGATAGTCAGGAACCATATGGTTTACCATT